CTGTAGACGTGTTGCTATATGGCATGCGTGCTCGCCTGAAAGACAGAGAGAGACAGAGAGACAGAAAGTGAGAAATCCCCCCCCCAGGGTGGATGGCCATGCTGCAATCCCTTCTCCTTCACTCTCCTCTCAGGATCTTAGACATGCACGCACAGGCACCCAGCGTGAGTTTTAAGCCACTGGGTCTGGGACGCAAACCGCGGTCGACTACGTGGGAGTCCAGCGACATAGCCATTACACTAACTGCTGGTCCCAATTATTGTCAATTTCTTAATGAAAGGTTTATTCAGAAGATTTAGTTTATTTGACATTCAGGAAAATACCTAGTCTCCTAATTTTAAGTTAATTGACCTAGTTATTAATAGATGAATCCTCTTTCTTAATATAAATTTTATTTATTCACTCATTTATTTTAATTTGAGCAGAAAGAGGAAAGTAAGCCACCAGGTCTGGGACTCAAACTGTGGTTCTCCATGTGGGAGTATCCAGCGCTTTAACCACCACTCCACCTGCCAGCCCTAACACCTGGTGTACTTATTACGTATTTGGGTTCCCAAACCTGACAGTGGGTGAGGACCCTGCCTGCCTGCCTGCTTGCTCTCTCTCCTCTCGCTTTTCCTGGCTCCAGCTGAACCAGGCTGGCTGTCAGATTTTTCTGCCTTCTCCTTAAAGCTGCCAGGCACCAGAATAGCCACGGAGCGTGTGACCTCCTGCAAGAGCTTGCAAACAGAGCTCGGGGCAGCGTAGAGAACTCTGGCCGGGGTGCGCTGGGAGATGGGGACAGATGATCCTTCCGCAGGGCCTTGGCGGAGGACGGCCACATCTGCTCCGGGTGAGATGTCAGCCTTCCAAGTCCGAGGTCCAGCCCGGCGTCTGACTACGTGGCCTGCAACGTAGCTTTCGTTTTCTGGCTGCTCGGGGAGGAATGCGGGCTTCTGATGAACGACTGCAGGGGGGCGTGGGGGTCTCAGAGCCATTGTGGGCCTCCGGATGTGACCCTTAACATAAACGCTTCCTGCTCTGCGTCAGAGGAAATGAGGAATCCGGCATCAGCAGTTAGCGTAATGGCTATGTTGCTGGACTCCCATGTAGTGGACCACGGTTCGCGTCCCGGACCCGGTGGCTTAAAACTCACGCCAGGCGCGTGTGCGTGCGTGCCCAAGATCCCGAGAGAAGAATGGAGGAGAAGGGATTGCGGCGTGGCCATCCCCCATTGGGGGGTGATTTCTCGCTTTCTGTCCCTCTGTCTCTCTCTGGCTGGCTGGCAAGTGCACATGCCCTATGGTAAAAACCTCTTCAAAAAATAAAAAAAAAGGAAATGAGGAATCTGTTAGAAAAGTAGAGGGTATGGAGCCTTGCAGGTGGCATGGTGGTTAGGGCGCTGGACTCCCAAATGGTCAAAAGTAGTTCAAGTCCTGGACCTAGCGGCTTACTTTCTTACTTTCCCTTTTTTTTTTTTTAATAATTATTTTATTTTTATTTATTCATTCATTTATTTTTTAATTTGACCAGAAAGAGACAGAGGTTGAACGTGAGAGCGAGGAAGTAAGAAAGCAAGCCACCAGATTCAGGACTTGAACCCTGGTCGACCATGTGGGAGTGTCCAGTGCCTTAACCACCACGCCACCTGCTGGTCTCCTTACTTTCCCTTTCTCTCTCTCATTCTTTCTCTGGTCAAACAAATAAAGTTAAATATAAATAAAGTTAAAATAAAATCATTTTTTAAAAATAAAAAAAGAATTGTTGCTTGCTTACTGGCATGGAGTTGTTTTTTAGATTTTTGCCATAGGGTGTGTGTACTTTAGAGAAAGAAGAAAAGCAAGAAATGACTCCCTAGGGGTGATGGCCACGCTATCATCCCTCATCTTCCATTCTCCTCTTGGGATTTTGGGGATGCATGTACGTGCACCTGGCATGATTTTCAAACTACTGGGTCCGGGACTTGAACCACATAGTAGGCCTAGTAGAATCCAGAAACCTTAACTTCCTCGCCACCTGGTGACCCCCAAATGTCTTTTTTTTTTAATTTAATTGCATTTATTCACTCATTTATTTTCATTTGACCAGGGAAAGACAGAAAAGAAGAGAGAGAAAACAAGCCCCAAGATCCGGGACTCGCACCATGGTTGACCACGTGGGAGGGTCCACGCCTTAACCACCACGCCACCTGCTGGTCTTCTCCCCCACAACCCAATCCTAGCTTCAGCCAGTGCCGGGTCATGGACTCAGGTGTAAGAAATTGCGATGCACACCTGGGGCCTTCCCCGTGGTCAGAATCAGAGAATATAGTGTTTTACCTCTCTGGGGTTGGGACAATTTTGAGATTTGGGGTACTCAGGTACACATATTTGGTGTATTTTTCTTTGCTATTTTTAGTTTTTTTTAATATAGGGTGCATGCACTCACCAGCGAGAGACCGAGAGAAAGACAGCCAGGGGAAGAGAGAAATG